CTTTTGAAGGTTGCAACAAGCAGCAGAGTGCACTGGAATGTGCATCAGTACCAAAGATGGCAAACAATAGCGATCGATTCCGAAGGGTTTTCTCATGGTTCTCCAATATTCCTCCCTGCAAATTGAAAATCCCTCCAAACCCAAATTTTACTTGGAGAACGGATGGCACGAAAAGCTCCTTCGTGATGGTGCCACTGCTAAAATCCAAAACATATTTCATGCCATGTCTGCTCTGAATCAAGATTGTACAAACTCTAATCAGTTCACCACTTAATTGTTACGGCAGTTGAACGATAAAATGTTATACTTACGTCGCCATTCGTGTGACAAATTAAAACTTTGGTAAGTTTCAGCCCAGCCAGTTTATATAATTCAGACTCGGTACAAACCAACAACAAGAATAAATCAATTAATCTCTGCCTTAAACTATAGTTTAAGGTTATCACTTAGAGTCACCCATTCAGCTGCAAGCGAGGCGTAATTTCGCATCACTTTCTATGATTCCTGAGACGGACGCAGTGAAAAAGGATATTTATGGCTCAATCTAAATGGCAAAAGTTTTCCAAATGCGTGAAAAATAACTATGGATGGATCCGTGAGTTCTCCCTCTAATCTTAGGAATACCACACACTGTGATCAAATAAAATGTAAAAACTTTGGCGTCCAAATAAATTGGTACGTGGCATTACAAATTGCGTTATAGGCTCACTCTTTTCCAAGACTCTGCAGACACAACACTGGGAAATCTTCACAGCTGCCTGTTTGTTTCGTGCGCCCTAAAAGAAACATGGATAATTTACTTCTTATCTCAGTTTCGGTACTTGACCATCAATCCAAATATTTGCATTGCTTTTTAGGACTTGTCCCTGATTTCTTCGTACGTTTGCTTTGCACTTTCAAACAAGAAGTTCTAGCGAACCGTATTCCACTACAAACAATACTTCTATTTAGGCGCTTCCCGTAGAATCTAAACGCAGCTCGAGTAATTGTATTTTCTGTAAATTCTCCGCCTGAAAGTGAGATTTATAAGTTTTGTTCGTAAATAAAACATGTCATCGAATGAAACCTTAACAAAATATTTTTATTCGACCATCTTATCCACGTAAAAGTTTTCATAAATGATTTATGGGTGTCACGTCGGATTTCGTGTAAACCAAGTGTCAAGTGCTCTTAATACGTCGGCGAGGTTGTTGAAACACGGAGAATTCTGCTCCACATAAGGAACACATTAGATACGTAGGAATATTTTAATTAGTTCGGATAGGGAAGGCGGCGTGAAGCAATATGCATAGACTCTAACAGTGCGGCTTGTTGAAACTCAGGCTTAAGATCGCTATCAATTTATGAGGGGCCGATGAAATCCAATCTAGTGAGCTTTCCGCCCAGAAATTGAGTCTGGTTTTCCGAAGGGGGTCTGAAATGTAAGAATTGCTTGCCAAACGCACGAGTTTGTGTCGTTACAGTAATTCTCTCATTGCTTTATTTAGTTTCTGTCCACACATAAGTCCGTTGCTTGTCTGACCTACTATCAACGAGGCCATTTTCCAAAGGAAACAGCACTTAGAAGCCACTTGGCGGTCAGAAGTTTGTCAAACATACTTACAAAAATTTAAACAGAGCCACAAAATAAAATCACCAAAATATTTGTGATCCATCGCCACGTTCAAGTTACCAAGGAAGAAGCTTTTTGAATTCACGTGTGTACCCTTAGAAAACTTTTTACGCAAATTTCGCGACCGTGGTCCGATGTGAGCTACAAAGGAATTATTACATTGGTCACTTTATATTTGCAAAATAAATACTATATTATGCACATATGATCAGCTTATTTAACTTTTTAACTGGAATCTCAAGAAAAAGTCAAAACTCTAACCTAAATTATAAAAAGAAATCTCAAAGACACCATGACAGCGGATTTCTTGACGCCAGTGTAAGGTCTTACTTTGGTTTGAACCGCGTATGACTGCCTTCTTAACTTGGTATAAAACCGTCGACCGCGCTCGTCTACACGGCACGTTTATACGCGCGCACAAAATTTAACTTTGTCAATCTGTTGCTTTTCTTCTACCCCTGATAAATAAAGCGAAGAAAAAACGCACAAGCACAAAGTAAATGATACACCATCAACTGACCAGCGGTACTGTTATCGACAGTGGAGATAATCATGTCCGAGTCACTAGGCGAAGCTAGAGGATAAAGAGAAAGGTACGCCTAATATTTCCGGGAAACAACGTAGTTTTGTGAAAGTATAATCTGTTCATGTTGTCCTTCAGCAGCATAATTAAAAATATGAAACTGTTCTAATGAGGTCTTAAACTGCTGTTTAAAAGTAAAATCTAAAATGCAAGCTTTCGCCGATCAACGGCATCATCAGGGATGAGAAAATACTTCGGGCGCACTAAATATCCAAGGTCACAAAAGTAGCATAAAAAGCTGCGTTCACAAAGAAATGTGACAAAGACAACGAAGAGTGTGGAAAATTATGTGACTGTGTAATACCGTCCGACCGTTTCGTTTATGGTTTTGTTTTACAGTAAAAATATGGTGCTCAGTTGTTGTTGCTTCCGTATTTGCTATCCATTTCCCTATGCTTTTAGATAGTGGCACACGAACATTTCCGATGAAAACTGCTTATAATCACGCATTAACGCGCATTATACCTACTATCTTTCACTACTACATGCACTTGCGTTGAACCATGGTTGTCACTAACTAACAAATTTTACTACAAAGCAAAACTGAGTTTTCCATATGATTTGAAACTCTTTAACGTATATTTACATTGCGTAATAAATGTTTACACTATTAAATTTGTCAGTGAAGTTTTACACAGGTTTTACAGTAAACAACATCTATTTTTAAGTGTTAATGATTTACATTCCAAGCTCAAAAATTATATTGGGCAAATGATACTGAAAATTTTGAGGCTACAAATAAATGGAAAAACATCCGCATAATTCTAATTATAATCACTCGCTGTGCGTCTGATAAGTTACAGATGACAGATGACAGATGACTTCATGATATGGTAGCTGAGTTTGTCACTGATGTTCTTACCACATATTGACGTTTTCTTTGATCTTTTACTGTACAGACCCACAGCAACATGGAATCTATTTACATCGTACAATAATAAAATAACATATCCTTGTAATGATGACGTCATCTTTACATCAATCCTTCAATAGATTAAAAGTAATCAAAGCGCGTGTATAATTCAGCTTATCATGGTAAAGTCAATGAAAGCCCTTTATTACATACACGAAGTTATAAACATAGCTTCCGATGGTGAGAAAGAAGTCCATTTCCTAACTATCAGTTATTCCTCTACCGAGGATAGTATACTTAGCGAAAGCAAAATCTTTCAGCTAAGTCTCTTCGATTTAAACACTCGTGGCACAATGCTTGGCACAGAACACGATACGTGGCATTCGAAGCGTTTTTTTCCTTCCACAACCGTAACATTTGATAAGCCTTCTCACAAAGATCACGTCTCCTTTCATCAATGTTATCAAGGTCTTCCTCGAGAATACCCAGCCGGCGTCCAAGCTTCCTCCAGTCTTTTGAGATGGAGTTCGACAGTCCCTGGTGATCATCACTACGTAGAGTGCCTTCTTTCAATTTTTTCCTACGAGTATTGAAAGAAATGTCATAAAAAGAGCGCAGTAGAAGAATGAAAAAACCAGAATTTGATAAGAGTATATTTAGCATACCTGCGAGAGACACTTCCTCGGGAATGAACGTCTCCCCTCCTTGGTTTGTCTCTGGTCTATCGAAATCTGCAAATAAATAGTGTATGATTGGATTCAAACTTGACCGCGTTGAATCTTGGTTAAACGAGAAAACAATGTAAAGAAATCAAAGCTATGGAGACAAAATAACTCTTTAAGTAAAGGGGGGGAAGGGGTAGGAAGGGAGGGGCTTCTTAAAATATTAGGGGGGCCTTCATTCGAGGTTGAACATTCAAATAAATTTGACCTGGTAGCAGGGGTGCTCGAGGGGAGGCACTGATTCGGAGACCTTCGGCTTGAACTCAGTCTCTGAAGTGCCTGAACCAATTACGATGTTCTCGACATTTGAATATTACATTGTGTAACCTGTAATATCGCGACCTTAAAAAGTGACATTTGTTACCTGTGCGAGCAATCTTAGCAGGAACCATTGATTGCGCAGTCTGGTACGGTAGTACTCGCTTTCCGAAATGAATAGAACTACATCGCGCTAAAGAAGAGACCCCTGAGGAATACAAAGAAACCATCAATTCTGTTTCATTATTCAACATTACTTAGCAAGTCCCACGGTTAACGGAAACGAGGAAAAAGAAAGCAGGCATCCAAAAAGAGTGAGGGTCACGCAACCTGTTTTTCGCTCGCCAGCTCTTTCACTCCTCCCCACTGATTGAGAGCCTGTTAAAGGCAAACATATGTGGCCCACGGAGTTAGCGAGTTTTGAAAACACTCAAGGCTATAATTTCATTTTTTTAGTCCAGATATTATTTTATTTTTCGGGAAAATGAGCTTGTTTCGTTGCGTTCAGTTTAACATTGTCGGCCATAAGGTATCAAATTACTTCGTTGGCTTGTCCTAATGACGACAGGGGCAATGAAAACATAAATTTTTTTCTTGGTCAGAAAATGTTGAGTTTTTGTGACAAACGTAGGACAACGAAGAAAAAGCTTAATCAAACTTTGCGCACGTTTCAAGTAAAATTAGTTATAATTAGTTACCCTTAGTCTGAGGAAAGCTTTGTAAAGACTGGCCACTTAGGTTTTTACCATTGGCATCGTCTAAGACCTGAAGTCAAATAAATTACTCATAGTGTTAGTATTCTCCAAATAATCATACAAAGGGGAAATTCGGCAATTATAGGGACAAAAATGCTTTCGGGCAAAGTCCCGAGAGTCCTGAGATCAACTGGAACGTCAAATAGGAGACAAAAGGAACGTATTTCTTCGACGTTTTGAATATCGTTTTCCAGTCTTTAGGCCGCTCAGTGCCATATCAAGGTCTGACCAAACCTGATTCGAATCCCCTTCGCAGGTTAAATACAACGAAAACCTGATCGCAAGGAACTTGAATTGGCTTTACCTGACTCCAAGTCTTGGGCGGACAAAACTTTGGACCCCTCAGTGTACGCGAGCAAACGAAAGGCTTCCTTCTCAAGGAAACATAATGCGCACAATCATCGTGGCAACATTCTGCTTCCGCATGCCAATGACACTTTCCGGTTCCATGAATAAACTCGCGTGGACACAAATTGCATCTAGCGCAGAGATCCCATGACACTGTTTGCAGCCAATGACACTCCTCGTGCAGCCTCTCCAAACTTGTCTTCAAAAAGCTAAAAGATAGGGAGAGACTTTTGTCAAAGAGGTTGATATCTTTTCTTGCAAATCTTTCACGTGGATACGTTGATGTCCGGAAAGTTCGTAATGTACACGATGTTCACCTGAGAAAAATGAAGTAAACTGTAGCCTCCTTTAAAACAACATCTTGACTATGACATCCATTACACTATCAAAGGGTTAACGATGTTATGAGCAAACCAAACTTGTCGGATCAATTCACATCGCATCAAAAACCACTTCCGATTTCACGAACTGGTAATTCATGTAAAAGTTACCAACCGAATATAGAATGACTAACTTACGTGCACCTACCTTAAGACCTCTGAGCAAACGTTAGGCTCGGTCTTAACAGGGTCCATACTTGGATCGGTGTAATTCCATACGTGTACTTTGATAACACGCTTGTAGCAAACAAAATCAACTGCAGTGTGATCTCCCACAAAGAAACGAGCAAAGTTAGCCCAGAGCTTTGGTTGATCACAGGCAATTCGTCTTAGTACAAATTCGAGGAAAAGGACAACCATTCTTGAAAAAAGACCGCCTGGGACGTACTGAGTGGTGAATGTGACATAAACGGGTGCAGGGCCTGGGTTAGCAGAAACGTCCGGCATAAATGCATCGTCAGGTGTGGAGGTCAGCATGCACGGAACAAGATACACGGAACTGCCATCTTTTCCCGTATATTCACAAAGAAGGTTGAACTTCTTCATGAGAAAAAGTAAAGACTCCCTGATGTCGCCAACGCCCAGTTTTGTGCAAGAGTAATCAAGCAGTTTTGCATCAAGAATGCCGTACTTGCCAAGATCTTTGCGGAGATTTGAAATGACAGTTTTCTCTTCTTTCTGTTTTTCAACCGTTATTATCTGACACAAAACATCAATCAACCACTTTGGACTCAAAAACACCAGACTACCTGGATCGTCAGCCCTACCATGATAAACCACTGAACCACGATCGTGTAAAAACTGTAAAAGTACTTCATAGTCACCTTCGACCTCAAATTTGCAAATTTCGTCACAGATATTCTTTCGGAAGTCTTGCCTAGTGACATAGTTTGTCCCCCTGCTTGCTAGATAACAGACTTCATTTTCCACTTGAAGCCACCTCAATGGAACCTCATCTTGTGTATGTGGCAAGGTATCTGCAACCTTCAGAATCTCTTTCCGTAAGGCAACAACTTGGGGATCTTCTTCCTCTAGTTCCTTACCTGCAAGAGTGTTGTTCACTGCAAATGTTTTTCCGATGACGTGTTCACTAAATTCTCTTGCTGTGTCACAGATGATGTCCTTTACACTCGTAGTCACGACTTCGGGGTCTCCTTGTACAAGGTCGGCGCGTGTTCCAACCAAAATGACAGGTGGTAATACGTCCCCGTTCTTTTCGTGTTTAAACGAATTCACCATGTCCAACCACCTCATAATGTGATCTAGGTTTGTGTCATTGTTGTCTGGAGACGGAATCTTAACTTCGTCGTAACCAGGCTCTTTCACCAAACATTGGGCTGGAGCAGAAAGATCTTTGGTAGGATCAACCACTAGCAGATAAACTGCTTCACGCGAAGCGAGAATAGGATGAATAGCACGGTAAATGGCTTGACCACCAAAATCCATGCAAACTGGCCAAATGCCGTCATCCTTCACTGACTCTATCCTCGAGAGGTTTTCAGTTGTAAGTCGCACCACTTCATCAGGCATGTCATTGTTTCGCTTCTCATTATGCCCGTTGTCCCCTTGAGTTGTCGGATAAATTTTATCTGAGTTCACCCGAGTCCTCGGTTCTATGTCATGATCTTGGTTTCCCTGAATTGAACCGAAAACAGATACAAGTCAATTCAATTAGCAAAGTTGGAATGGAAGTTGGCCATTCATAAAAAGCTTAAATATCACCTTTAGATATAAATGAATAATAAAACGTATTAAAAACCTTTGGTGAGCTCTTCGGTCCAACCTCACTGAAGAATTCTGAAAAAAAAAATTAGCTTTGATTAACTCCATTTAACCCAGTAATATTTCGCTGCAGTGCTATGGTTGTCGTTGCCTTTTTTTTCCTTTTTGTTTTTTTCTTTACTTTGACGGCTTGTTTTTTCAGGTTTAAAAACGTAAGATTATAATTTTGCGTGTCTAGTAAAGTTGTAGAATACTCGAAAAAATTCCGTAAGGGTCTGTTGTTTTCCTTGTTACGATGAAGTCGTGAGCTTAGCCACGCATACTGATTTACAAATAACACGACGTGATCAAAGATTGTTCTAGAAGCATATCTACAGGAGTGAAACTCATGCCAAGCTGTTGTTGGTATCACTCGATAAGCCGTCAACAAAGATGTGTTGCAGACCTGCCGAGAAAACGGGTTTAATAAAGACGTAAAAATCCGTTTTAAAAAATCGTCGTTACTTGTGTGCGAGGTGTTGAATTTTAAAACTCTAACAACAACCTGTCTCCTATCACGTCCCCTTCCGGTCTTAGTAGCACCTTGTAAAAGGTAATGTAACGTGCAACCTCTGTGATTTACAAGCGTAAAGTTTTTCAACAACACAGAAACCAAATCAACATTTTGTAATGAGGTACATACCCACGTTTGATCCTATTTCACCGATCATCCCCTCTGTTCTCTGTGTCTCATCAGTCTCTGTTTGCTTCGTAACTTCGCTGTCCACGTAAATTTCGTTTGGTGGTTCAGTTAATAACTGGTTACTAATATTTAGAGCACATTTGTAATGGAAGGTACTTTTTTCTTGTTCCTCTTTGGAATTCTTCCATGGTTTTTCACCAACATGTTTCAGAGGCATGTCTATTTGCACCCCCAATGTGCTCGATTCATCTTGTCTGAATAGTTCACCTTTCAGAGAACGTAAGACACTAGTTTTGCCAACCCGGTCTTGGCCAATCAACAAGATTTTAGCCCGCTTATCGAATGTCTTTCCCATTTCAAGAGCTCTCTGATAAGCGGCCTTCGCGATGGATCCTCTGGCCAAAATATAAGGCGGGGCTGAGTGCACCGTGATTTGAAACTTGCTCAAAGAAGGGACATCAGCTCTCTCAGCCCTATTATTTTTGCGAAGAATGGTTTGCACTCGTTTATTCCAATCCTTTGCCTGCTTAGGGATACTAATGATATCACAGATTTTGGCCAGGTTTCTGTAACACTTGGCCACAATTTTATTTTCAGGTCCCGACCTCTTCGCAAGAATATTACGCGCACGCTCGAAGTTATCCTTTGCTCGCACAAGATCACCAAGGGAACTACATACGGTCCCCAAGCAACTGTAAGAAAGAGCCACGAGATCGTGCTCAGGTCCCAAATACTGCAAAAAAATATTTAGCGCACGACCATAATAGTTCTTTGCTTCCTGAAATTCCCCAGAGGCAAGAAATAAGTTCCCCAAGCTATAGTAAGAACCTGCCACGCGAACATGCTCAGGTCCTAAATTCTTCAAAAGAATATTCAGTGCACGACCATGATAGCCCTTTGCTTGCTGGAATTCACCAAGGGCAACACATACGGTTCCCAAGCCACTGTAAGAACCTACCACGCCAACATTATCGGGTCCTAAATTCTTCCAAAGAATATTTAGCGCACGACCATAATAGTCCTTTGCTTGCTGTAATTCACCAAGGGAAATACATACGGCCCCCAAGCTATTGTAAGAACCTGCCACGCCAACATTCTCAGGTCCTAAATTCTTCAAAAGAATATTCAGCGCACGACCATGATAGTCCTTTGCTTGCTGTAATTCACCAAGGGCACCACATACGGTCCCCAAGCCTTTGTAAGAACCTGCCACTTCAACATTCTCAGGTCCTAAATTCTTCAAAAGAATATTCAGCGCACGACCATGATAGTCCTTTGCTTGCTGCAATTCACCAAGGGCACCACATGCGGCCCCCAAGCCTTTGTAAGAACCTGCCACTTCAACATTCTCAGGTCCTAAATTCTTCAAAAGAATATTCAGCGCACGAATACGATTGTCCTTCGCTAGCTGAACATCACTAAGGAACCCAGATACGGTTCCCATGATACTGTAAGAGGTTGCTAGGTCAGTCATGCTCAGGTCCACCCTTCTTCAGAGGAATCTCCAGCGCACAATCCTGAAAGACGTTTCCTTGCTGTGGTTAACTTAATATGGTTTCCATTATGGTTCTTCTCCGGCTTGAGGTTATCAATGGTTCCATAAATGGTAGTTATCTATGTAACTGACAACAAACTTGTTTTATTACAGCGACATGATAATCTAAAAAAAAGAGTTATAAAGGCTTGAAGATATCACAGGTGAGGAAGTTGAGTTAGATTTCAATGATAGGTTGAAGATAGAAAACGTTGGTGGCCAGGATGAAAAAACCTTGTTTTGAATTAATCACCCAGCGAAAGGTTCGTTCAAGTCTCTAAACAAGACTTTGTGTCGTTCCTTCAAGCTCCAAATTCGTCTCTGAGATGCTAAGCCCTAAACCGCCCCAGTCCCCACAACTAGTCCCAGACTCTGACTCAGAGTCGTGGAGACTCCGCGACAAACGGCCTTACAAGTTCACTTTCTTTATATAGAAAGACGACATTACAAGAGTTTTCTCTGAGTCAAAAGATGAGAATAGAACACAAATAGTGAATGGTTTTGACTGAAAAAGAAACAATATTACTGAAGAAATTCTAATCTGAGAGAATTGTTAGGCCAGTTATTGATAGGCCAGTTATCTGAGGGGTTACCACAACTTTCAAGAGGAGAGAACGAAGGTTTTGTGTCATTTCAGAAATGCAAAAAAGCTAATGGAAGTTTTAGATGCAAAAGATTACCTGGTGGAGATGGGTTTACATGCGAATTCTGCTCGTCTTTTTTTAAGCTTACTAGCAATGAACTCGCAAATTCTCTCAATGCTGGCCGTGCAGATAGTTAACCATCAATTTCGCCACGAGGGTTAGTAATAAGTCTCGGTTATACCAACAGACACCTCAGAAAACTGCAAACAAACAACTTGATTAGCGTTTACACAACGGACAGTCACGATTTTTCACGCGATTGGCTTGTTTTCCTTGACACAAAAATATTAGAGAAATGTTTCCGGAAATGTTCACAATTTCCTGTATACCGCAATAACACAGTGCAGTCCAATTCATAGTCAGATCTTACATATAACACTTACTCTGTATATTCTATAAATCTATCATATAGAGAGATCTCTTAAAAATTCTACAAGAATTATGAAGAGATTAAACAACGAGAATTTCCTTTCATTTTTTTTCACAAAATCATCGTACTGACAGAGGAACTTTCCCATTTCCAAACACTAAAATTGATTTGTATCAAGATGGTGAATTTTATTATTTAAGACTAGTGTTTAAATTAAAGATGATGTTATTTAGTGAACAGCACAGGCATACTCGGAAAAAATAATAACTCCGAGAGGTGTCAATATGGGTCGACCCGACAACCTTTTGATTAGTAGTTCGGAAGTTTGTCACCATGGACCTAGTTTCATGGCCAAGCCTGTCACGAGTCTCCTTTAACTCAGTGGTAGAGTATTCAAAGTACTCATCGGAAGGTCGTATGTTCCACTCCTATTGGGGGCACTTGTAGTTCTTTTACACCGATTACGCCTGTGTCATTCACCTCGAAACATCTTCATTGATTAGTATTGTTTGTCAATTGTAGAGATGATTACAATGACCACGGCTTCATAAATGAAGACAAATGACTGACGTAAAACTATTCGCAACAAACTGGACAAAATGTAATGTATTACCACAATTTGTTAAAAATTATGCAATTTTACCGTGATAAGGAAATGGAATGGGCAAAACATGCCATGTTCCACTGTGTAACAGAGCAAAAATACTGATTGAAGGCAGAGAAATAAAATGGCCAAACTCAAAGGTCCTAACCTTGAGTTTGTCTTTTGTTTAAGTTTTGGGCTAATGCCTGCGAGCCTGTCTGCAATCTCTTAATGGTGCTGATGAATAAAGAGGGTAATTTTCTACAAGAACTTTAGTGCTGTGTCAGTGGGAGAGCATAACAGGGTATTTTTGTATTATCAATTGAGTTGATAACGTAAATTGGCCACCGTAAAGAGTGACATCAGCACAAGTAGCATGAGGCCCTTGAGATTCGAGCCAGCAAGCAAAGCCAGTGTGGCATAGGTCTTTGGGGGGGGTCATTTTCCAGCCAGAACACTTAAGGACCTTGCACACACTTGCGTTGCCGTAACATGGAAACCCTACTAGCTTCCCCACTCTCAATGCAATACCGAGGAGTGGGTTGCAAATAAGCCCCACAACAGCATGCTTCCAAAACAGGAGAGACAAAAATTACTTCCAAGTAAGTAAGGGAGGGGGACGAAGAAGATCAAAAACAGATTCCGGGAATTTAAACAATTTCACAGAATGCATGTTGGTCTTCATCTTAAATATCGCCAAAAGATGGGGTAAATTTATCACCCACATAGATAACTTTCAACCCAACCCCTAATGCCTAGGGGCATTAGATTGCATTCCTAGAAGGCAGTGGTAGGCTGCCATAGTTGGAAAATCATTTCTTAATGCCCCTGAAAGGTTTCTGACCCACAGGCCAGAACCCCAAGGAGAACTAGCAGTAGTCCCTGCATGTAAACATATATATATATGTGAAATTGATGAAAAAATTAAGAAAAGAAAATATGTGTATAGTAGGCTAAATTATCCTGATTTGAAAAAAACTAGGTCAGCTTAGTCATATTGAGCAGTTTCTTATGGGTAACTAAAATGTCTCTTCCTTTCATTATATGTCACTCGCAGAGAATTTACAGAGGTGAGTATATTTCATTGTATTTATCTCTTTAGATGCAGAAGTCATTCCTTAGTGCCAGGTAGAATTGTTTGATATGCAATTATTTGATATTTCAGAAAAAATAAGGAACAAAATCAACATACTCTATCCAATTTCATGATAGTGTGCAAAGTGAAATCAGAGGTCAATTAAAAAAATATGAAATATCAACCAGTCATATGGATAAGCATCTCCTTAAGAAACTTCATTGTGTAGTATCTAATAAACCCTCCTTCCTTTAGCTGAAAAAAATGGTTGAGTGAATAAGAAAAAAAAAACCTGAAAATATTTGATGTTGTCCAGATTTTACACATCTGCATTGGCACACATCCTATAAGTAACCACTAGGACACCAGCTATAAAATGCTATTGAAAATCCACACCTTCAATGCTTCCTTTGAACCAGCCAAGCAAAACAAACAAACCAATCCAAAAGCATAGACAAAAGTACAACTGTTATGAAATACCATCCGTTACAAATGGTATGCATGAAAAGAGAGATGAATTTGGATACTAAGGGCTGGTTATTTTTAAAAACAAAGTTTAACCCTTGCTCATCCAAACTGCACTCTCAACAATCTTAACCCTTTCACTCCCATGATCTCAGAAGCAATTCTCCTTACTACACTATCTGCCATACAGTTCTCAAAATGTTAGTTTAGAGAATTTGGTTTTGGATCAAGTTATAATCCCTTAATTGATATTTTTCTTTATTCTCATTGCTTGCCTACTTGATATTGTATTGATATTGCAAGAAGAAAATTCTGTCATGGTCACTCATGGGAGTGAAGCAGAAAATATCACCTAAGCAGCAAAGTTTTTGCAAAACTGTCAAAAGGGCTTGTTTTAGCACTAAAAGAAAGATCTAATCACCTCAAACCCCCCTCCCCCTCCATGACTAACTTTCAAATTCCATTGATCATAAAAATCTGCTGCCCAATTTAGACTTTGTTCCAATAACGAACCCTAACTGTTTCTATATCATATCTTTTCACAAGAGAATGTAAATTAAATGTTACTTAATGGTTTCAAGTTATCTTACTGAGTGGAAGACTCGCCACCAGTAAATTTGCCACCAAGCTCACTGGCTAATTAGGAAAAAATTCTAAGCTTTCAGCAACTCTTAAGTTTGATCGTGAGTCTCATGAGCATCACCATAAGAATGCCATGAGCAATACCGCAGAGCCAAGCTGAAAGCTTGATAGTTTTTCAAGATGGCAGAAGATGAGTTAAATGTATGTAACAATTGAAATGCAACCAATCTGATCCAATCAAAGAAATATCAAATGGATCATTGAACAACAAAGTCAAGCCTGTAAATATTTAAAATGTTCATCAAAGAAAAAGTAAACCAAATTGATTGTAACTTTTTATTTAAAAAAACCAAATGACAAGATCGACAAGAAATGGTTTCAATCCCACAGATTTATTTTTTGTCTACAAAACAAGTGCTTTAAAGGCTCTCAAGGAAATCCTGTTAACTTTTTTACCCATAATAACCACAAGCAATAAGCTAGAGCTCAAGCAAACATATAGTTATTTAATCATACATTTAATGGCTATACTTAAGGTGGCTCCATAGAGTTTTTTTCACCACATGAGATATGGACCCAGACATGGCGCCAGCTTTTAAAATATCACCAAGCAAAACAAATATGGTAGCTCGATACGATCACATGATTTATATCAAAAGAGGTGTGTAAAAGATATATATCCACATTGTGGACCCTGGGAATTCCAGCAACAACACCCAACATATTTCTAGGCCTTTTACACCTGAAAAAAGGCCAATACAACACTCACCGCATGTTCAGTTACTTCGAGAAGACCTCAAAAATAAATAAAAGAACAAGGAAATCATCAAGTAAAGGCTACAAAATTTGATAATTGAAACTTGAATTACAAAGACAGCTGTGAGGAAAAGGAACCACCTACAAAACAGGCTCTAAGGTGGTCTTGGGTAAGTAACCTACGATGTTCAGGATGTTTGGTTTTTTCCGTCCTAGGAAGATAAAAATTATTGTTTTGATCAATTGCGAAGTTTTAGTCTCAAAATTGGCTCTGATTTCCACCAACAGACAACAGCTAAAAATCTTCAAGGAACTCAAGTTGTTGACATACAAACATTTGCACAAGGCCTCAAGGAATGTCTATTTTGTAAGCGTGGCAAATATGAATAGTTTTTATTTTTACTACAATAATAACCAAGTGACATGCACTATGAG